AAGTGTGTTACTAATTATGCTTACATTTCCTAATTTATTCAAAAAGCAGCTACAGAAAATAAGCAAAGAACATTTACATTACCAAGGAACATCATCACTGACTTGAATCTAGCGTAAATTTATGCACTTTAAAAACACTCCCATTATAATCAGTGAAGCCTTCTACACTGTATGATGAATAAATCTCTTATACTTTTATATCACGCACATCTGCACTTTGTTGTTTATGATGAGAGAATTCACAAGAGAGCTGAATTCAGTCAGCGATTATGCGCACTGAACAACAAAACATTGATTGATCATTGATACACGATACTATCGTCTATCTGCACAACCCTAATGCCAGAGGTGGAAAATTTACAAAAATATTCTACTCAAGTAAAAGTACCATTACATTAATGAAATGTTACTTAAGTACAAGTAGAAGTACCAGTCTAAAAATCTACTCAGGTAAAAGTAAAAAGTAGCTCATTTAAAATTTACTCAGAGTAAAAATTACTTAGTGGGAGGGAGGAGAAAATGGGATAGGCCAGGGGGGTCAAACTCAGTTCCTGGAGGGCCACAGCCATGCACAGTTTAGATATAACCCTAATTAAACACATCTGATCCAGCTAATCTAATAATTTAGGCTTATTTGAGAACTACATGGTATGTGTGTTGGAGCAGGGTTGGAACTAAACTCTGCAGGACCCTCCAGGAACTGAGTTTGACACCCCTGGGATAGGCCTATAAATCTCAAACTAGTTGTTTTTTAAATTAAAGGAATCAGTTATTTTGAATAATAAGACATCTGGGCTGTTACCAGGCAAATTAAATCAGTATCAACAAAATTAATCTTTTCAATGCAGAGGAAACACAGAAGCTTCATCTGAAGTGGCATTTAGATGTGTTTACACACTGTTTAATACATTTTACCTGCAGTTACAAATGCAGAACTAATGTTTTGATATATAAGACATAAAATGTTGAATACTCATTTGAAATTACATATTTTTTAAAAAGATACTTTAAATGTGAAATTAAAACTACCAGCAGGTGGCAGCAAGTCACTGTTAATAAGTGAGACATTGCGTTTGAACCGAATCATTTAAACGGTTGATTCATTCAGGAAGGAAACACCGTCATGTTGCTCAGAGACGCTACACTGTGCTGTGGCTGTGTTTGGAATTTTTTTTTTGTTCATATTCATGGTGTCCCAAAATAGCACAGTTGAGTACACTTAGATGATCTTAAGTTTATCTTAAGTTTTAGTATATTAAGTACAAAATTGATGAGCGAAAATAGAGCACTTTAAGTACATTATGGAAGTGCATTTGTTGTTCACCTGGGAGTACTTGATGGTTACCTTGTTAAAAGCTCTATAGTCAATGCAGGGCCTCAAACTTTTCTTGGCCACGAAGAAGAAATTTGAAGTGGCAAGGGATGCAAATGTATGTATGGTTCAACACCTCCTCCTGGAAGCAGGTCTCTCCCCACACTAGCACCACTGAGGAGGTCTCACAGAGCATTCTGAGGTGATATGGACACCAGCTCCACAGTAAAAAACTTTCATGCAATGAGTGATTCATGGCACAGTGATTTCATGCAATGAGATACCCAGATAGTTGGAAGAAATGCTCAATCCCCTTCATGTCATGTAGTCGGAGAGATGCAGACAGAGATGGTTCCAGTCCTGGCATTAAGTTGTGAGGAAGGCTAACGTTTTCCATTAGTGCAGTTCTTGACTGAAGGTGAATGAGGAACATGTGTGTAGGATCAGTAGTCCGGGAAGAATGAGCAGAGAAGAAGAGCCTGGTGTTTGCATGACAGTTATAATCTAATGGCTACTGGCAAACTTCAGAAGGAGGAAGTGAGATACGAGTTAGTTTATAGTTCATTTCTATGACCAGCTACAACTCGTTTATGTCAATTTCAATACCAATACTCATATGGAACATTGTGCGGCAAAGCCAAGCGGCAACCTCCCGCTCTCTCTCGTGAAACCAACACGGAAGTGA